TTTTTTTTTTTGGCCAGCGCTGAGTTTAAACCCACCACCTCCAGCATATGGAGCCAATGCCCTACTCCTTTGAGCTACAGGTGCTGCTCCTGACTGATATTCTATTAGATGGATTTATAATCATTTGTTTCTTTACACATATGAAACATGTTTGTAATATTTAGGAATTCCTAATTTTTTTACATTACCAATATAGCTTCTATGACCATTTATGTAAGTCTTTGTATGGCTATATGCTTTCATTCTTTTTGGACAAACAGGAATAGAATGGCTATATGATATACAAGGTATATTTAACATTTTAATAGACTTTGTTTTCCAAAGTGGTTATACTGTTTTGTTTTTCTGTCAGCAGTGTTGAGAGTTTTAGTTCTTTCACGTGTCTGCTATTTAGTATGGTCAGGCTTATTAATTTTAGCCATTTTAGTTGGCTTAGTGTCTGTGATTTTAATTTGCATATCACTAATCACTAAGGATATTGAATATCTTTTTGTGTGCTTATTTGCCAACTGCGACGTCCAAATTTTTTGCCCATTTTTTAAAAAATATGGTTGCTTATTTGCTTAATGTTGAATTTTGAGAATATTTATATTTTCTGGAAGTGTAGCATAAGATCTCTTTAAGATAAATACTTTAAAAATGTTTTTTCCTAGTATGTATCTTTTTAGTGAAGCTGAGTGTATCAATATTTTTTACGTAATTCACTTTTTTTTTTTTTTTTTGCAGTTTTTGGCCGGGGTCAGGTTTGAACCCACCACCTCCAATATATGGGGCCAGCACCCTATTCCTTTGAGCCACAGGCGCTGCCCCACATAATTCACTTTCTTTAACAGGTGTAGAGCTATTCGCATATTTTTTTCTTTAGTGAGCCCTCAAAGTATTAGTCTAAATTGTCAAATGTATTTGAATAAAGGTATTCAGAACATTCCTTATCTGTATTTTTGGTACCACGTCTAAAAAATCATTCACTAATCAGAGGTCACAAAGGTTTTCTCCTATATTTCCTTCTAGAAGTTTTATACTTTTACATTTAAGTCTATAATCCATATTGTGTAGAATTTTGCACATCATGAAAGGTATAAGGAAATTTTTTTGCTGTGGATATTGTTCTAGCACTATTTGTTGAAAAAACTATCCTTCCTCTACTGAATCGCATTAGTACCTTGTCAAAAAATCAGTTGTTTATATAGATGTGGATGTGTTTTCTGGCTCTCTAGGCTGTTCTGATGATCTTTTTGTCTACCTTTACACCAGGACCACGCTTTCTGGATTCCTGTGGTATCTTGCAATCAAGTTGTGTTAGTCTCCAATATCGTTCTTATTTTTCAAAGTTGTTTTGGTGATTCTGAGTTCTTTTCCTTTCCATATAAATTTTAGAATCAGCTTGTCATTATTCAAAAAATAACTTGCTTAGGTTTTGACTGGAATTGCATTGAAGCTATAGGTCAATTGGGAATAATTTACAGCTAAACAGCATTGTCTTCCCAGCAATAAACATGATTATTTAGGTTTTAAAATTTCTCTCACCAATGTTTTATAGGCTACTGTATATAGAAAACCATAGAAGAGGTATTTTTCTTTCAATTTCTAATTATTCATTGCTAAAATGTAGGGGGGAAAATTGTACAGTGATCTTATATCTTGCAACCTTATAAAAGTTATTAATTCTCATAGTTTTTTTTTTTTAAGACAGATTGGATTTTCTATACCCAAAAATATGTTATCTGAAACTAGTTTTATGTCTTCCTTTCTGGCTTGGTGCCTTATTTTTTCTTTCTTTATTGTGCTGGCTGGAGCCTCTCGTAAAATATTATATGGAAATCATAAGAAAAAAATCCTTATTTCTGATCTATGGATAAAGAATTCAGTCTTTCACCATTAAGCATGGTATTACTTGTAGATTTTTTTGTAAATTCATTTATTGGGATAAGGAAGTTTCCTTCTTTTCCTACTTTGAGAATTTTTTTCAGAAATTGAAGCTAGATTATGCTTGATTTATCTGCTTTTATTAAGATGATTACATGGTTTTTATAATGAAGTAATTGATTTTTTAATTTTAAACTAATCTTGCATTCCAGGGACAAACCCCACTTGGTCATAATGTATCCTTATTTTAAATATTGTTGGATTTAATTTGCCAAAAATAATTTTAGAGATGCATTTATGAAGGATATTACAGTTTTACTATTAGAATCACAACAAACTTTCCTCTCTTTGTGGGAAAGTTCTTACATATAAATTCACTTTCTTTTGAAAGATACAGGGCCATTCAGAATTTTTTTTCTAGTGAGGTTTGGTGGTTTGTGTCTTTCAAGGTACCTCATCCAAGTTCTTTGTAAGATCTGTAGAATCTGTGTTTTTTGTTACTTCTCTCATCCCTGATATTACTAACCTGTATCTTTTTTTCTGTTGCCTAATCAGTCTGTCTATAAGTTTATGAGTTCCTTGGATCTGAAAAGGCCAACTTTTTCTTTCACTGATTTTTTTCTTGCTATATTTTCTGTTTTCTATTTCATTTATTTTTATTTGGATCTTACTTGTATTTGTCTGTGTAATTTGAGTTCAGTTCCCTCTTCTAGTTCTATTTTGTTAAGGTAAAAAGTAGCTCTTCGATCTGACACCTCTTTTTAAAAGAAACTGACACCAAAGTTCTCAATTCCCAGGTGGGCTCAAACCACCAACCTTTTGGTTTAACAGAACAAGCTTACTTCTTTTTTTATATGACTTTTAGCACTACAATTTTTCCCCTAGATACTACTTAAGCAGTACCCAAACTTTTTTGATATGTTATGTTTTCATTTTTATTGTGTTCAAAATACTTCTAGGTTTACCTTTTTTTTTTTTTTTTTTTTTGCAGTTTTGTCCAGGGCCGCCAGCTTGAACCCCCCACTCCTGGTATATGGGCCAGCACCCTACTCCCTGAGCCACAGGCACGCCTCTAAATTTACCTTTTAATTTCTGCTCTGACCACTTGATTACTTAGAATTGTATTATTTAATTCCTAAATATTTGAAGATTGCTAGAAGTGATGGCTCTTGCCTATAATCCTAGTACTCTGGAAGGCCGAAGAGGGTGATCCCTTGAGTTCAGGAGTTCAGACCAGGAAAAAAAAAAAAAAGTTAGCCAGGTGTTATAGTGGGCATCTGTAGTCCCAGCCACTAAAGGGAAGAAGTTTGAGGTTGATGTGAGCTAGGCTAATGCCACTGCCCTCTACCCAGGGCAACAAAGTGAGACTCTGTCTCTAAATATATGCATATTTGAAGTTTTTCAGACACCAATCTCTTATTGATTCATAATTTAACTCTGTTGTGTTACTCTGTATTAATTGGATCTTTTTTAATTTGATGAATTTTTTATGGTCTAGAACAGTTAAATTTTTTAATTTTTTTATTCTCATGGCACAGTGGAACCTATAGTTAAGCTTCCGTGGCACACAAAAATTATGTTGATCAAAAAAAAGTAAAAAAAAAAAAAAGTATTTACTGTGCTTGAACTTCTTTTGTAAATAATTTATTTAATGAACTATAAAACTTTTCACGGCACACTAGCTGAAAATCACCTGTTGAGAACATGATCTGCCCTGGCACATGTTCTGTGTGTACTTGAAAAGAATGCATATTTTTCTCCCACTCTTCCATGAGGGGTTGAATTAACTTGCTAGGGCTGCCAGGGCAAAATACCACAGACCTGGTAGCTTAAACAATGGAAATGATTTTCTCACAGTTCTGGAAGCGAGAAGTCTGAGGTTGGCAGGTAGGGTTCCTCCTGAGGCCTCTCCCCGTGGCGTCGGCCGGCCACCTTCACAGTCTCAGTGTGCCCTCGTGTGGCCTCTCTGTTGTCTCCTTTTAAGGACACCCCTCCAATTGGATCAGGCTCTATGCTGATGACCTCATTTAGCAGTAATACACTCTTTGATCCCTGTCCCCAAATACAGTCACACTGGACATCAGTGCTTCACCACGTGGCTCTGAGAGGAACACAGACCAGTTCAGAGCAAGTGCTCTGTCACGGTCGATGAGGTCAAGTTGCGTGGCTGTAGAGTTCTCTTATATCCTTAATGATATTCTGTCTACTCAACCTATAAATTAATGAGAAAAGATTACTGACCTCTCTGACTATAATTATACGTTAATTTCTACTGGCAGCTCTATCAGTTTTTACTCCACATATTTTAAAGCTCTGTATTCTGGCATAGCTCTAAATTATTTAGAATTGAAATAAATTCCTAACTGATGCTTTGTTACAAAATGACCTTTTTTGTTACTGGTAATATTCTTTGCTCTGAAATCTAATTTGTTAATATGTATGTGTCTAGTAACTTTCTTTTGATTGGTATCATCTTTTTAAAATTCTTTGATTTTTAATCTGTTAGTCTCTTGATATTTAACTGTTTTTCTTACTGGCATCATACAGATGGGTCCTGCTTTTGTATCCAATCTAACTATTTCAGCATTTTATTTTAGATGCATAGAACCTTACATTTAATACGGCTGTTGATATTGTCAGGTTTAAATCTTCATCTTGCTGTTTGTTTCCTATTTGTCCCATCTGTTCTGTTCCCTCTTTTCCTTTTTCTGGCCTTTTTTGGGTTGAGTACTTTATGATTGTATTTTATCTTTTTCATTGTCTTATTAGCTGTGACTCTCCGTTTTATTATTTTCATGGTTGCTTTGGGGCTTTT